CCAACAAAATTTCGTACTTTATTTTCGGAGATTTCTGCTAAAACAATTATAATCCAATTTGATAACGACTGGCACTAGATAAAATGATAAATTAAAGAAATCAACAAAAAAATTTGTTTCATTATTTATATTATAGTTCATGTATTTACTCTAGGAAATTTTAGATTTCTGATTGACCAACGACCGTTCATAGGTTCGACTTCACTCTTTGGATATGCTAGTTTAGGTGAAGCTAGTGAACGACCTGGAAAAGAAATATCGAATAAATTTAATGTTCAACATGAGAAATGAATAAAAAACAAATCACACCTTCTACTACAGCCATTTCTCTCGAGATTTGGATACCAACGGCCTGTAAATCATTATTATTATTAAATTGCAAATATTTGTCAATCCCATCCTCGATTTTTTTGAATCGGTCCAACGGCTTGGTTGCTGTAATCTTGATCATATCAGCTTTCCCTACGTCGGTCAAGTCTTTTTTGAACACTTGACCTATAAATCAAATAAGAAGATTAAAATCAATTGAAACGATGATTTCAAAAAAAATCAAAAAAGTACCTGGAAGGACTTCGCAAACTTCCAAGGGAAAATGGATAGTCTTTTTTACGATTACGCAGAAAAGATTCTTGAATTCAAGATGTCGTTTATATTGATCCAAAAAATGATCCGCGACAGATAATTCGCGTCCATTTTTGTCCATGAATTTAATATCTTGTGCCGCTTGGTTGGACAATTTTTCTATTTTGAATTTTCGCCGACTTCCTTCTCTGTGTGTCGTACGAAACTGGATCCCGCGAAGAAGCTAAAGAATGTTACAAAATCAGATCAATATCGTAAATAGAATATTTTTGTAAATTCTTAATTTGGATTATTACAGTTTCCAAGATTCCTTTTTGTTGCTTATTGAATCCGCGATGCAAGTCATCGCGACTTCTGCCAAACAAAGCGCCAATGACTTCAAGTAAAGGGCCACTTGGAAAAAATGTCGAGAAACAAATATCGACATTCACATATAGATTGTCTTAAGAAAATAAAAGTTAAACTTTAATAACTTTTTCAACAAATAAAATATCATCCGAGAACAGTAATCAAACAAATATACCGGTGCCCATGTGAATACTTTGCGAAAAGCCAAATCGCAATTGAATCCCGCCATGCAATCTATACGCTCGTTCCTGGTCTGGGAAAATTCCGCATTTAACATTTGGAAATTTGTCGCGAGTCTCAGAATTGAGAATGGTGTTAAGAGCTGTCATTGCGTTGGCTACTTGTTGTGTTAAACCGATTTGTCCATCCATATATTGCTTCAATGGTTTCATTGAAATTTCACCATTCTCATTTTTGCGTATGATGATTTTGAATGTTTTCACGCGCGCATTTACTTCTGGGTTAGTGTCAAGTTTTACCTATAAATCGAACTGAACCATAAATTTTTCTATCTTAGATAACCATGAAAAGAATAATCAAATATCATAATATTACATTAAAGATGGACCCGTCCTCCTCAATTTGCAATGGCATAGGTGAAAAGATCGACGAATTTCCATCGAAAATAGGACGACTGTTACCAAAAACACCGTCGGATTTCATTTGTGAGAAAATAGTGAAAGCT